GGTTAATATCACTCATCTCCCTTCGGTCTTAGAGTGTTCCAATTTTAATCCTTGCTTAATCGTTTAGAAACTATTCCATCTCAGGCTCAAGTCTTCGAAACATGTTATTCAATTGTAGAGTTCATTCATTTCTAACTTTTTCTAATCAAATTCTTCTCTCTCAAGAAAGTATTGAATAAAGGTAGGTTCTAACGTGTGCACTCATTACAAAGAAATCAATGCGAAATTATAAATGAAGCATGCAAACATCAATTGATAGTCATTTGTGGTTGATTTTAACGTCGATCCCTAGTCATGGTTCCCAAAACCCTAGTTGTGGTGTTTAGCTACTCATGTTCTTAACCAAACACTTGTTAAGCATTGATGAAAGCTTAGAAGTAATTGACTTACAATAATGAAAACCAATGATTCTTGATTAAGAACTTGAATCCCAAGATCAAATGTTGATCAATTATCCAAAAGATAAAAACCAAAATAGAAAGCTATCGTGTTTGCGATGAAAACTTGTCTCAAAGTATCTATGATAAAAATAAAATAAAACCGTAAGTAATTAATTATAGTCTTCAAAAGGAATCCTAATCGAAGTAGGAAAGTAGTTCAGTCGACAACATTCACGGACAGGCAAACGTCCCGTGAAGCTTTTCACGGTCCATTCAAACCTTTCGTGATTCAACAATTAGAAATATTTTTTCAATTTCAACTTGATCTTCCCACGAGTCACTGTATGGTCCGTATACATCTTGAAGGCTCATGTAGGGTATCTGTTCAATTGACTTCATACTTGGACTTTAGCTTCTTCTAGGCCAACTTCATAAATAAGTTCACGGGTCGTGAATCAGTGCACGGCTCATTTAGCCTTCAGTCCTCAGCAACTCTACTCCAATTTCAAGCTTTTTTTCTTCCAACATCTTTTAACAATTCTTTTCCTGCACATTAACAAAAGAAACATCATATCTACAAAAACATGCTTGGTTCCTTGTAATAATTCTTTGTTTCGGGCGTCGAATGTGCTATAAGTTTGCTGCACAATATCTGTAGGTTGGCTAGTACAAACTTGCACCAGTCCAAAAATGCAACTTTTCTTTTTCAATTCAACTTTTAAATTTCTGAAGTGTTACATAGTTCAATCGGAAACATCAAAATTTCATGAAAATCTGATACATGTGAAAATATCATAATTATGATCGTGAAAATACTTGCATGTTATGGGTTCATGAAATATCATTGAAAATATTAAATTATAATCAATTCATGCATAATAAGATATACCATGAAGAAGAATTTAAAATTCAACAAGAATCCATAAGGAATCATAAAACTGTAGATTTTGGGAGATTCATAAATTGAGAAATTTGGGTTTCCTTGAGACTCAATGGGTGAAGAAGAATCCATTAATGGAATTCTCGCATACCTTGATTGAAACTCTAGCTTGAATTGGGAGAGGAGACCTGAAGCTTTGGAACTCTTGATCTTGCCTTGGGAGAGAAACTTAGGAGGGAAGAAATTGGTTTCTAGAGAATGAGAGTGAATGGGGAGGTTAGAGTATTTAACAATCAGTTATACCCACTTAGAATAGGCCAAAACACCATAGTATAGGAATTAAAATAGTGGGAAAAAACTAAAAAATCCATAACTTAAAACTGACGGATTGTCTCTACGGGCACCATCCACGAACTGTAAAACCTTCTACTGTCCGTGAAGTGGTCCGTAAAAACCAAAAGGAAGAAATTCAGAATTCTAAAGTTTCCACTATACAGACATTCCTACAGTCCACAAAACATTCCACGGCCAGTCCTAGCCTTCCGTAAACGGTGGGGTTCTTTTGATATTTTTGAAGTTTAGGGACTTCAGTCCACAATCTGTATACACTTCCATGATCCATACAAATCATTCGTCCTGTCAACCATTTTTTCAACTTTCGGAAGATGGTCTACGAAAGGGTCGACGGTTCTTGAACCTTTATACGGACCGCGAAACAGTAAACCCTGGTCCTGAAATTTCCAACTTTAGAGTTCAACACCACTGATACCTTCATGGTATGTGGTCCCTTTCACACTCCGTGAATGAGTCCCTACAAGACCATTTTTCTACAACATTCAACATTTCTGCACTTTTCCAACTTTATCTTTGTTAGGCACTTTCGAGATGCTATACTAATCTTATGTATCTCTAGTATCATGACGGAATAGATTTGAGATTCTAGAAGATCCAGGGTCGGGATCATATAGTACATATGGATTTCTTGAGTCCCCTATGGATTTTTCCATTCGTGTTCCGTATTGAACAAGAGGAGGGGTGTTTTCATGAGTCCTACCTTGCGTTACAGGGCTCGAAGATAGGTATATATATAATTGGTTATGTGTCACTTGAAACTGATGGCATCATTGATTTTCATTGCATTGTGCATTCATATGCATTGTCTATCACTAGTATAATTGGTTGTTGTTTGCACCTTCATATCTTATGATGGAGCAATTGGGTTATGTTTGTTGTTGTGTACCTTTTGAATTTTTGAGGGTTCAGTTAGGTTATTGTTGACTATGCTAATGTAGTTTGTGACAGGATGTGGTTGGTCTATATGACTGGCTTAGATTCATCTTTTGATTTCTTGTATATTTATCCTTTCAAACTTGAGCCGATTGGGTTGGTCTATTGGCTATCATTATGTTTCGTGGTGAAAATTGTTAGTATAACCTTGTTAAGCTAAGTTTCCGTAGTAGAATCTTATTGTGGTTAAGTTAGTGGGATAGTGCCTTCCGATATCTTCCTCCACCTTAGATATTTGTATCTTATATAGTGCATTATGTTGTCTCTGCTTACTTTAACTGTGTTATCATTTCTTTAGATACTTGTAATATATATTTCTTCTCTACTTGCTATTTATAGTTGCTTTATCCTTGGAGCTCAGTCGGCCTATGCCTTCTGAGTATTCAATTTATAAAAGTCCAAAATTTTTCCTCCAAAAAAAACATTAACCAAATTTGGAAGAGATCTTTTCCAACTGAGTAAACATTTTCTACAAAAATATAATAATTCTAACTATGATAGAAAATCAAGGCAAACCCCAATATTTTCCACCTTACCACATGAAGCTGTCCTTGACATATTTTGCAGACTGCTCATAAGATCTATCATCCAGTTGATCAGGTCAGTATGCAAATCAGGGTATGAAATATTGCCTGATCCAGAGCTTGTTCATTTGCAACTATCTCAGGCAGTGAAGAATAATCCATACTTTATTTTTCACTTTGATTACCCAATCAAGAATCAACTTTACTATGTGGAACTATCTGATCATGAACACAAAGGACTTGTAAGAAAACTTAACTTTCCTTTGTCAACATAAATGTTAGAGTTCAATTTAGTAGGCTCATGTATTGGCTTATTATGGTTATATTAAAGTTCAATCTAGTAGGCTCTTGTAATGGTTTATTATGGTTATATGGTTCCGTACTCACACTATACAAAAAAATAATCTTTAACGGCAATAAGTTAATTGCCGCTAAATATGTTTTTTTAGTGGCAATTAGCACTCTTTGTAAATGTCGTTAAAGCCTATAGCGACATTAGATCCAATGACAATTAACTAATGCCGGTAAAGGCTTTAAAACTCTTTGTTAATGTGCATATTCATTGCTGCTAAAAATTGTTTTTGCAGTAGTGTCAATGATAGACTCGTTCTGCACAACCCTTTTACTGGAGACTATAAAGATATCCTCAAATTCATTGAGTTTGAAGAGCAACAGGTTGTATTTCGATTTCATCCTTTTACCAAGGAGTACAAGGTGATCAAGATTGTGTACTATACAAATACCTATAACATACCTTAGAAGCTTCGTAATGTTAGAAGTGTGGATGCTAAGTAGAAGTGATGTTCAAATATTTAGTCTTAGTAGCAGTAAATGTAGGGGTATTGGGTAGTGCCCTACTTTCTTGACCCCAATTCACTAGGAGTTTTGGTGGATGAAAAGCTACATTGATTGAGTAAAAAGACATAGATGATGAGGGATTTGGGCAGGTTCCTAGGCCTAATTTCAGATTTAGTTAACTAGCATATCTGACTATGATCTTGCAGTTCTAGGAGGGTGTCTTTCTGCGTTTTTAGCAAATCGTTGTGTTAGTGGATGGTTGGGGATTTGGATAATGAAAGAGTACAGTGTGAAAGAACCTTGGATGATGATGTTTTCTGTGAAGCCTTACTCAGCAACGCGTTTTAATGACGGTAAAAAATTTCTGTCAGGCAAATCACCCAGATTTCTATGCATGCTAAAGAGTGGAGAGATCTTGTTGGACTACGATGGTTCGATCAATGCCTAATTATGTTCAACCTGTAGTCCATGTTGGTACCCTCAACTGGGTAAATTTTCTATAAGCTTCAATACTGCCATTGACAGTAAAGCATTGTAGCTTTTTTATACTAAAACAAAGTTGGAATCTTCTACTTCTTATTCTACAGGCACAGAAGGTGAATTAATTATGCTAATACTCTTTAGTTCCATTTTCCAGAATATCATAAAACAGGTTTATCATTCAACAGATAAACAGGAAAACGAAAGAAAAAAGAGAAACACCGATAAACAGGCCACCATAGATGGAATGGAAAGGCATTGCGGTGGTCTTTTCATCAGAGAATTAGATATACAAACAAAAAGTTGAGTCATATTACCGGTTTGGTTCCCCACTCTCTCCGGAAAAAATAAAATAAATAGTACTATTATATTTTCTATCAAGGTCTCATTTACAATTTACAGGCTCCATTCAACCCCAATTGCAATACAATGCTTATCAAGATTTGTGTATGAGTTCTAACTTCTAAATGGGATTTGAGTAGACTTTTCTTCAATCCTTTCAAAACTCAACTCTTTAACTAAGAGTTCATCCTGATGGTTCAGTCGATTATCAAGCACTATCATCTTGTCCACCTCCAAACGAAAATCAGCACTATAATTGTTAAGATCATTCCAGCATATTTGATCCATCTATCAACACGATTTCTCTTCTCAATAAGTCTCATTACAGAATTTGATAGCCCCACAGTGTTGAGTACATCTAATGCTTTCCGTTGAGCTCGCTGCAACAAATCATCAATTAAGATACCAAGAGTTCAACAATAGTGGGAAAGACTTAATGTAAAGTTTTGACTTATTTGTGGACACTAGCACTGATCATGGCAAAGACTTCTCTTAATAAGAGTAAATAGGAGAGCATCTATATTAAATGTATTATAAGTAGAAGGGCAGTCTAATGCATGAAGCATTTCATGTTCAAACGGGGTCTAGGGAAGGGCCGCACCGCAAGTGGCTTATCGTAGGCAGCCTACCCTAACAAAGCACTGACTCCACAATTTGAATCCTTGATTTATAGGTCACACGGAGACAGCTTTACCATTATCCAAGGTTCCTCTTCATATGTATTAGTATAAGTAGATCTTTTTCTTCATATTAACAAAGGGGTTACCACCCAAGAACTTGCATATTTAATCTGAAAAGTCAGCAATGCCAACTAGGATAAGCAAGTTTATGTGATCAGCCACCAATTTCAGACCGTAGATTTGGGACAAGATCAAAAATAGTCTCTGAACCAGAGCCAGCCAACACGAGCTCAAATAATATGACCTTCTAACAGTCCTTATTTCACATTATTGCATAGTTGTCCCTTCTTTTTAATAGAAAAGAGGCAGTAGTAAAGAGTAAAACTTAATTATCATGCTTCATAACTAGTTTAGAAGACACAAATCTTTCATTGCCCATCTATTTGCCCAAAAAAGAAGGAAACAAACCACCATCAGCCAATGAGTACAACTTCTCAGCCTTCTGTCCTTGAACCAACCATAAGCAGTTAGAATTAAAAAACTGCCTGTTTGGATTGGCTCGTTCTTAGGTGTTTTTAAGAAAAAATAGTTTTTAAGCAGTTTTGAAGTGTTTGGGACTTTGGGTAAAGTTAAAAAGTGCTTATAAGCACTTGTTTTTAAGTCAAAATAACAAAAACAAGCCAAAAGCCATAAGTTAGAAATTCTAACTTATGGCTTTTGGTTTATAAGTCATAAGCCAAAAGCCAATCCAAACAGGCCTCTAGAACAATAAGCTGACACACAGACAACACTGTTACCAAAAATGTAGGCAATTTCCTAGTTAAAGTAGGAGAGTTTCCCATCAGTTCAAACTCTGAAATATAATGCCATTGCAATAACAAAAATTATTGCATATCTACCCAGTGCAATATGTAACCGAGTGAATCAGGAGCCTGTTTACCTTTTTATATCTAATGTATATAAAATTTAAATAAGGTGATCTACTGTAGGTACCTTTAGACGATCCCTTTGCTCACTATATTTTGAAAGAATAGCTGTCCCTGTTGCCAAGGTTTCTTCAAGCATTCTGGATGAGCTACGAGCAGATTGCATTGCTTGAGCTTCGTCATCAAAAATCCTCAAAACATGAGATGAATCACCGCTCTAGGACATTACAAAAATAAATTAGATGGAATACGTAAGAGTACAGAATTATTCATCATATCAGCACAGAAAAGGTTGCATACAGCTCTCCCAAGTAATTCTGTTCTCTCCTGGACTTCTTGCATGCGTCTCTGATGCCGTAGATTATATTTATCCAGACTATCTTTCAAAGAGTCAGCCTCTTCAGCCACTTGTTCCACTTTCCTGTACAAGTAAGACACAGACTTTCAGTTATGGAATAATAACTTCTAATTAGAGTGACTACGACTAAGCACACACTGCGGAAAAGTATGTCTCTCTCTTTGACTACAGAAAGAGTAAGCGAAAATACATTGGCTTATGAAAATTGTTCTTTCTCCAGTACATCTCGTTCCACCATTCATGGTTAATCTCTATGAGAAAAAAAATTGCTTAGAAGTACAGGACTGACAATTTTGCACTTAGAAACCCTCATGAATTACATGAATTCATCATCAGTCAACCATTTTATTAATCAAAGGGTTGAGAAACTAATTCAGCCTCATCAAATTTGATGAGCCCTAGCCTAAATTTTTTAGAATCATCACTATGGTTCTATTAAATTTCAAAAAACTAAATACAAATTCAAACCAAATTTCTCCCATGAAACACGCATTTGCAGTATAATCTAGGATGTTAACCATTATAATTGTACGAAATACAATTTTTTTCAATTAAAAATGATGAATGATGAATGATGAATGATTGGATAATCCCAAATCTGGACATATACCAAACTAATCAGGTTTATCTTTCAAGAATCTGATTATTGATGGATCCTATGAAATCATACAATATCATATTACCTCAAAACTGAGACCTGTACAAATTTGAGCATGTCAAGGATCCAATGAAATTCATTTTGTCTAATATTATACAAACTAACTCGAAAGGAGCATTTTCACGTGAAAGATCTAAAATCAATATTTAAAATGACATGCAACAACCACAACAAATTCAATATAGTCCCACAAAGTGAGATCTGGCGAGCATACAGTGTACGTAGACTTTACCCCTACTTTAGAGATGAAAATGACATTCATTGTGTCAAGTTTGATTTTAAGAATTCACAGTTTCATCTCAAATTACTGAATGACAAAGACTCTTCAATTCTAACTATGTAATATAAAGAACTATATCATTGGCTCATAGTCAGAAAGAATGAAATCTTAAATAACATTTTCACCATAATCAATCAATCAACTATGAATCCTCAACTTCCACTCTATTCAATTCCATTTCTTTCCACTACCAAATTGTTTCTTATCTATGCCTAATCAAACCACACACGAACAGCTAATTTAAATTTCAACTATAGGAATCCTTATTAGAAAACATAAACCAAAAGTGAACAAAGAGGCAGTTGAATTCAAAATTCAAACATCACAATTCCGGGAGAACAAAAAGGCAACCTTTTCCAGAGATCACGTTGAGATTTAGCAGGTATGGAATGCCAGAGACGTTCCATTTCGGAGCAAAGTAACTGGATCTGGCTGATATCTTTTCTCAAATCCTCAACTGCTTTCTCCGAAGGATCGTTCACGGCGGCGCCCAATGACAACACGGAGGAAGAAGAGGTGTATTCGAAACGCTCGAGCCTCTCTAAGCCATCTCTGGTTTTGAGTAACAGCCGCCGGGAACTCTGATAGAGCTCCGATAACGTTACGCCACCGCCGGCGACCTCAACGGACATCGTCATTGTTGTTTGGAACCTTTTGACTCCCCAAAGTTTATCAACAATTGCAGAAATTCTACCCTGTAGTTTTGGATATAACAGACAGGTACTTGTTTCAAGTTTGCCTAATAACCCCGAAAAGGATGAGAAGGGTTCATGAAATTTGGGGCTAATATATTTACTTTTTTTTTTGTGAGAATTCAAATATTCTTATTTCTAATTCTATTGGAAAATAATTTAGTCATATTCTGAAAATTATACATAAATTGCACTCCTCTTAATTAATTTTCAATATGAATTTGACACCGAGATTTTGTGGAATGGTGTTGTTCCCCAATTCATAGAACATAAGCTTTTATGGGATAATTATTATTTTTTTACTAACGGCTATTTTAGAAAAAATATAAAATGTAAATCTAGTTAGAGATCTTCTATCCCCTGTCTCTAATAGATACAAACAACTATCAAGGATTTAACATGCCAAAATGAAATACTAAAATCAATCATCTTGCTTAGGTAAAAGATACAATCATTTTTCATATCAATAGAGAGATACTCAATCGCTATAATCAAAAAAGTTTTGCAGAAATATAAAAGGCTCTCAAGAAAACTTATAAATACTGATAAATTTGCATACTAATGCATCAAAACACATCAGATACTTTATCAGTAGAAGTGACCATTGATGGGGCGACTTCTAACATACACACAAGTATATATGGTCATCTAAGTAATACAGGCTGGTGAAGTTCAGATGCCTTTTAAAAATGCCCATAGGTCAGATTAGAGAAATGAGCTCAAGAAAGGTGGAGAGGGAAGATTCTCCATGGAAAACAACTTTGTCCCTCCTTTAAGACTTTGCGTCAGGAATTCGATTCGCAGGCAAAAACAAAGTTGAATGAGTGCTAAGGTAACAACTTGGCGTCGAGATAGACAATGATATACTTTATGAATAGAATTAATTATTGACACGTATATACATTGTAGAATTGATGTAAATAACATGATTTGGCATGTGGACATGGTGTTCGGATGTATATATTGAAAAGGATAGATGAGAGTTGTCACGTCCCAAGCCTACACCCTGGCGGGCCTTGCACTCGATAACCACTGTTGGCCCCAAGCGAACCCTTGGTCTGGCTTACTGACTCAGTGAAAGACTTGACTCAATCATGTAAACTGAAAGCTCAAAACAATTGAGAATGTATTAAAATAACATTTACCAGCCAAAGTTGCAACTCAAGTCTCAACATAATAGAATGAAATGAAAAGACTAAAGAACTAACATATGACTGTCTATGAAGCATCTAACAACTGAGATGGACGTCGAGATAAGACCCACGACATCCTAATGAATTAAACATACTGAAAGCAATAAAAGGGGGATCCGCCAGAAGCAAGGAGTCTCACCAACAAACTCTAAAGCTCAATCTAGAATCAACGATGCATTGGATGCTGATCCTGGTTACCTGTATCTGCATCATTAAAAGATACAGGCCAAATGACATCAGTACATTAAATGTACGAGCATGCGAGGGGAAATTTAAAACAAGACATAAGCTTGAAAGGAACTGAAAGAACAAACCTGGTCTCAACTGAACTGAACTGAACTCATTTCAATATAAAGCAATAATATGAATGCAGTATAGAGAAAAGCTTTAAAAACATGGATAACAACTCTGTGTATTTAGAAATACAATAGTAACTTTGTATGTATGCAAAGATACAATATAAACTTTGGAATGTATATAAAAATACAATCTACATATGTGTATATAAGAATACAAAATACTTATGTGGGAGTTTCTCTAACCGACAACCATCACTTAAGAGCTATTGTGATGATACATCGTTTTACCTCACGCGGTCAGGGCCATCCTATACCTTACCGAGGGTATAGAACCTGACTACTAAGTTGATCCACTAGTCTATGCTAAAAAGAACTAAGGAATCATCTAAAAAGTATAACCCTTTTCTACCCATAGTGGCTACATGGTTTATGGGGGCCGGGAGTTGTCTCAACTCTCCCCCATATCGATACCCAATACTACTCCCAAAATATAATACTAGCTCTTATGTTTAAATCCATAACTTCTTTCTATGATTTGAGGTAATTGTTCAAAACTTAGCTCAAAGGCTCTTTTTGGAAATCAAAGTTTCCTCTTTTGCTTAATTGTGAAAGCATTTACTCTTTATTGAAAACTAGCTCAAAGGCTCTTTTGGAAATCAAAGTTTCCTTCCTTGTTTAAATATGAAAACATTTTACTCTTTAGGAATACATAGTCCCGATATACTCTTTTGAAGAAATGAACTTCAATCTTTACTCTTTACTCAACTCAAAACTCAAGTCTTAAAACAAAGTTAAAACGTTTGTAAAAGACTTTTGGAAAACTCTATGAACTTCTCTTGACTGGAAACTTAACTTTCCTTGAATTAAATTATGGATTCAAGGCTCATGATCTCATGTTATTGATGATTTCATGTTGTTTAGACATATCATAGAGTGTAGAAATCAACTAGGAAACATAGGTATGTTTCAAGGAAACTAGTACGGAAAGAAGTGGGAAAAAGTAAAAGACATGGCGTCCCTAGAGCTTCAGAACTGAAGTTGGGGCGCCCTAGTGCGGCGCCCTAGGGCCCCAACTACAGAGCATCTTCTGGGGCGCTCTTATTGGCGCGACGCCCCAAATGGCGTGACGCCCCAAGTGGCGCGGTGCCCCAGCTTCCTCCCTAGGTGTTTGACGATTTTTCTTGCTCGTTTTTCAACTCTAAACTCAATTGGGACTTTCCCCAAATACTTAGATTCGACTACATAATTAAAATATGCAAGAGTCTACTCAAAACGACACCTAATTTCATGAATTTAAATCAAGAACTCCTCAACAACTCCAACAACCAAGAACCCAATAGAAACTTCAAACAAATCCATCAAGAACTCAATTTCTAAACCTTCAAGAATCTAAATTCGCTGAAATAAACCATGATTGGCGCGTGGGTGAACTAACTCAACGCTATGTGATCTCACATACCTCGTAGGGATCACCCATTGACGAAATCCACAAGCAAAACCTTAAGAACGATGAACTTTGGCTCTTTCTCCTCTTTTCTCCTCTTGCGTTCTTTTTCTAAAAACCCTAGCATGAAATCTTTGAGTGCGTAAACTGACCAATTTTCAGTTTAGAACCCTAAGTAATTACCAAAAACGAAATAACTTAATTAGGTAGTGAAAAGTTCATAATACCTTTCTAAAATCCGGTTTTGACTTTCCTTAGCTACAAAGCCCAACTTCAAATGGACATATCTCACTCATACGAAAACTCAAAATCATGCGAACTCGGTGACGTTGGAAAGATAATTCAAAGACATTTCCTAAGGTATCTGGTATCACACCTAAATCGTCCTAAGCTTGGAGTTATAGTTGTTTGAACTTGACCCAAAACTCATACTTAACTTAATTTTGTCAAATTTCTAGATTTTTCATTCTTTCCAAAAATGATTCTTTCTAATTCTAGCTCTTTCTAGGTGCGGGGTGTTACAATATCCCCCCGGGAACATTCGTCCTCGAATGAGATCAATCATAGTAGGCTAAGGGGTAACATCTAACATTTAGTTCAAACACCCAACAAGCAAAAAATGCAATTTCAACATACCAACTTAAAGATTAATGCCAAGAAAAGGATTAGTACCTTAATTTGGAACTTCTTCGAATTCAAAGAGATGTGGATTTCTCTTATTCATATCTTCCTTGGCTTCTCAAGTAGCTTCCTCAACAAACTGATTCCTCAAAAGAACTTTGATTGATGTTACCTCTTTTGTTCTCAACTTGCGGAACTTGGCAATCTAGAATCTGAACAAGAATCTCCTCATATGATAAGCTATCCTTGATACCAATATCTTCAGTAGGTATGATAAGTGAAGGATCACCCATGCACTTCTTCAACATGGAGATGTGAAATACTGGATGAACCGCTGTTAACTTTTGTGGTAGCTCCAACTCATAAGCTACATTGTCAATCCTCTTCGATATTTTGTAAGGACCAATATACCGGGGACTAAGTTTCCCCTTCTTACCAAATCTCATAACACCTTTCAAGAATACCTAATCATCTACTTCAAACTCTAACTCCCTTTACCTAACATCAATGTAGGATTTCTGACGACTCTGCACTGTTTTCAACCTCTCTTGAATAACTTTCACTTTCTTCATAGCTTAATGCACTAAGTCTAATCCTATCAACCCAGCTTCATCAACTTCAAACCATCCAATATGAGATCTGCATCCTCCCATAAAGAGCTTCATACAGAGCCATGTGGATGCTAGAGTGGTAACTATTGTTGTAAGCAAACTCAATGAGAGGTAGGTGATCATCCCAATTGCCCTTGAAATCAATCACACAGGCCCTAACATATCTTATAAAGTTTGAATAGTGCACTCTGTTTGACCATCTGACTGAGGATGAAAAGCAGTACTTAAGTTCACCTTGAACCCAAGCCTTTCTGAAAAGATTTTCAGAACTGTGCAGTAAATTGCGCACCTCTATCTGAAATAATGAAGACCAAAACTCTATGAAGTCTTACTACCTCTTGAATTTATAACTTGGCATAGTCCTCTGCTGAATAGGTAGTCTTTACCACCAAAAAATGGGCTGATTTTGTCATTCTATCAACAATCACCCAAATAGAATAATGTTGTCTGTGAGACCGTGGCAACCCAGTAATGAAATCCATATTGATCATCTCTCACTTCCATTTCGGAAGTTCTATAACTTAAACTTGTTGACAATTCAAACATTTAGCAACGAACTTAGCAATACCTTTCTTCATATTATTCCACCAATACACTTCTCTCAAGTCACGATACATCTTTGTGGAACCCGGATGTATTGAATATCTGGAGCTATGAGCTTCCTCCATGATCCTCTCTTGGAGTTCATCCGCCCTTGGTACACACAATCTACCTTGATACCTCAATACACCATCT